ACCAAAGCAAGGGTGTTTTAATTTTAACCTGCAAAAAGCAACGCGGAGGTGTGAGGAGCAGTTGATGAAGGGAGCGCAGCAGCTGGAGTTAATCGGCCATGAGCGATGCCCAGGTTGCGCCTGCAGATGTGGCTGACATGGACGTTGGGTTGTAGGCAACTGTGCGGGACGTGCTGCAAGCCCTGCCTAGGAAACCGTGGCTGATGGCGGCCTCAGGGTGTGTGGTTCAGTTCTGGACGGTCCCTGCGTTGTGCTTTGTGTCCCAGTGAGGCAGCAGTGCCAGAGGCTGCGTTACGGACATAATGTAGGTGAGGCTGTAAGGTGGCAGCCGAAGGCCAGTGGTCCCTTCCCTGGTCACCTAGCAAAGGGACACTGACGAGATATGGGGAAGAATATTGAAAATTATATTTACTACTTGCAAGCGGCAGCGTGGAGTGTATCGGTTGCACATCAGGGCCAGTAAACACCAAGGAACTGAGCCTCATTTTTTTTGGTCCTAATTGCGTTCAGCTACAAGAGCTTTGTCATGAGATGCAGATTCCAGCCACCGCAGGGATTTTGTTATTGTTTAGTAAAATGTTTTCCTTCCTAACCACCACTTTCACTGTTCTCCTTCTAGAAAGCCTGAACTTTCCATCAAGTTTAACGTATTTGTTACACTTTTTTTTAAAAAAAGCTTTTTTCTGCCAACGAAACCCTTTGGCCTTTGTGCTGCTCGGAAATAGACTCTCACTGTCCTGTGGCCACCTCCTGATTTCCTGCCATGCTGGCAGCTGTTTGCATCCCAGAGAGCTGCTGGGGATGCAGCCCAGGGTGCGGTTGGCTTTCTGGGCTGCCAGCGCTCACTGAGGGCTGGTTTTCTCCTGTCTGGGCTGGGGCAGCTTTTGGTCGGCTGCTGCTAAGTTTCCAAGGTGAGTTCCTTCGCTCTAGTGTCCACATCAGAAACATCTCTGAGCAGAGCTTGGCTGGTGTGGTTTTACTGGTACTGACCTTCCTGATCCCAGAGGTTTTTTTTCGGTTATTTTTGCCCATTTGTGCACTGTGAATGCTGAGGTTCTTGGACCTTGTGGCGACAGCCAGCCCAAGTGTACGGCGGGCTTGAGTATCAGGGAAAGGGCTGCTGACTTGAGCGATCCCGTGAACACGAGACTCCTGCTGTGTCCCGAGCTCTGCAGATGTGGCTGGAGCCGGCTGGCACACTGCGGATTCTCCTTTCAAGCTGGTGGATGTTTTGAAGCATGTATTTTGTGCCCTGGTTGTTTCAGGTCCCACTATGGGAATGCAGGCGCTGGGAGGACTCTGGCTGCAGGCGCCCAATGGCATGCGGGCTCGAGTGGCTCTTGTCCTCCTTTCCTTTTAATCTCATTCTAGCGTGACTGTAAAGCGAGAGCCGAGCGGCTCCGCTACTTTTATCCCGTAATGCGGCATGCTTTCAGTATGGCCTCTCGCGGCAGCAAGGCGGGGGAGCCCTGCCCCTCCACGGCCCGAAGGCACAGCCTCCAGCAGCTCCCGGCTGCGCCTCCCCCACCACGCTCCACTAACCCCTGTGCCCCGCTCAGGCGGCCACAGCCAGCCAACTGGCTCTGCTTTCTCGCTGGCTTTGTTCCCGCGGAATATCGTCTCCCTGCTTGCCTATCCCTCTCTGCCAGGCAGAGCTGGCTCTGGTGTCCTTGTGGAAGAATCACCCGGGTCTTAAAAAAAATTAAAAAAAAAAATCCCATTGCTCATTCTCGACTGACAGCTGCCAGCGACTGTGTTGTCCTCGGCCCCCCTCTTGTCCATTCATCACTGCGCCCCATACGGGCTCTGCTGAGCTCTGACAAATGCTGGCAGTGTTTTTGGGCAGCTGCTGGGGCTGGAGCCAGGCTCGGGAAGGGGCCGGGGAGCCCCGAGCCCACCTGTTCCCGCACACAGGCACCCCTCTATCTCCTCGGTGTATTTGTCATGGCCCTGAGTCGCTGTGGTCGAATTACAGATTTAGCCGCTGCCTGTGTGTGCGGCTCAGGAGTTCTGGTTAATCTGGTGGCCTCTTAATCTTTCTTTTTGTCCTTTCTGGTGCCAGTTTGTCATCGCAGTGAGTTTCCTTTAGGAGTAAGTCATTCTCCAGGGAAGCCAGGCAGGGCTGCTTCTTTCCTGGCTGAGTGGTTTGTGTCTGCTCCTGATCCCACTGTCCCTTCTGAATCCCATACTCTGAGGTGGCGATGTTGCCCTTCTCTAGAGGATGTTGAAGCACACTGGGTGTCAAGTCAGGACATCCTAAGAGCCTTTGCTGGCATGCTTCTTGTGGCAAGGATCGGAGAGGGGAGTGAGTCGTGCTCTCCTTGGTTTGGGTCCTCCATGCCCCTCTCCAGGACATCCTTTGGCCTCTGTGAAGTCTTCATGCTCTTCCCGGTGTAGGTGGCTTCCTGTGTCTGGAGTCCTCATGATGCACAGCTGTCATGTCATAGTATCACAGAATGGTTTGGGTTGGAAGAGATCTTAAAGATCATCCAGTTCCAACCCCCTGCCATGGGCAGGGACACCTCCCACCAGACCAGGTTGCTCAAAGCCCGCCTCCGACCTTCGCTACTGTGCACCCTGCACTCAGGACAAAGGAACAGAGTTTGAGATTGTGCGTGAAACGGGTGGCAGAGTGAGGGTTTGGGAGAGCCCACCCTTCCTGGCTGCGGGCTGAGCATCCTCAGGCACCGTTTCCCGAGAATCGCTGGTGTTTGTGTTTCCTGCCTTAGTTTCCCCACCCATGAGAAGAGGCGACGGCGTGACCTTGCAGCCACTGTGCTGTGAGCCATGGGGCTGACCTGCCCGGGCTTTCAGCAGCAGAGGTGGGAGGACACAGTCAAGGCTAAGCATCTTTAGTCGCTGGCTTGTGTTTGGTGTCTCAGAGGCCTGCTGCTCCAGGCTGCCGCTAATCTGTTTTGGGGCCTTAGAAAGCAACAAAGGCTTATCTGAGCCGCTTGCTGAAAATAGAAATGAGTGTCGGGAGAACGTCTCGGTGCGAGGCCCTGCCGACAGCCAGCTGGTGGAAACCTTCTCCGGGCTTTGCTGGGTGTATGTAAAAGGCTGCCTTTGTTTCCTCCCAGCCCACACACTGACACCGCATTCCTCCTCCTCTTGTTGCCAGATATTCAGGGAGGCTCTCAGTGTTTAATCTCTAGGAGAACCTTGGGGGATTGGAGCCTGGGCTGTAAACCCCGGCTCTGCCCGCACGGAGCAGGGGGAGCTCCCGGCTGCCTCCCAGCCTCCCCGTCAGCCTCTGTATTGACTGGGATTTCAGGCAGACGAGTGGGAGTTGGAGGACCTGGAGGGCTGGTCTGGCCCTTGCCGGGGGGAGAGAAGGCACTGAGCCAGAGCTCACCGAATTCAAAGGTTTTTGGTGCCAACTGGAGACCTGTGTTGAACGGCACTGCTCAGCCCGGGGTTGGGGAATGGAAGGGGATCAATAGGCTGCAGGCAGCCACAGGGCATGTTGGCAGAGAGCGGCCTCTTGGGCCTCTCCTTGTCTGCTCACCGTTCCCTGGAGCCAGCTGGGTTTCTGCAGGGCAGAAAGGAAGAGCATTTGGTTGCCCTCCCGCTCCCCCTTCCCTGCTTCCTGCCCCCAGGCGAGCCTTTCTCTGCTGAGGGACCTGGAGCCAGGGCTGGCACTTGCCTTCCAAGTGGCAAGTGAAAGAGTTAAGCCGGGGAGTGTCTTTCCCTGGCCGCAGCCAGTTCAGCCGCCCCAGCAGCTCTCATGACTGCTCCGGGCAGGGATCGGGCTTCCCTGCTCCACTAACCTCAGATCATCCCTTGCTGCTGCTCTGTGCCTTCTGCCCGTCGGTCACCTCTGTGTCACCTTGTCCTTCGGTCTGGGACCAGGGGAGGCAGTGGGTGGAGGCTGGAGGCTTGGCAGCTTCTCAGAGGGGATTAAGGGGAAATTTGTTTCTGGAAGGCTGGTCCTCTGGCTGGGGTGGTTTCTGGGTGATGGAGGAGGAAATGAGTACAGCCGTTTTCAGTCTCTTCTCCCATCAGGCCAATTCATCCCAAGCTGGGAGACTGCTCCAGGCAGGGAGGTGCTGGGAGCTAAACACATCCTCCTTGTGACCACAGCACGAAGAAGAGCCTTAGCCACTGTCTGGCACAGAGGATGCTCGGTCCTTGGCACGGCACAGGGATAGAAAGGCTTTCTGTGCCCCACTGCCACTATGTCCATGCTGCCAGTACCCTTGGCGTGTGGGTCCCCACACTGATCTCTGTTCACAGCTCTGTGGAGCCTCGCAGCACCCACTGACCAGCATCACTGGGGCAGTGCCAGTGGTCCAGGAGCACCCCACAGTGAGGAGGGCTGAGTTTGCCATGGGGAGCAGGGCGAGGAGCCTTCCTTCCTTCTCCTGAGTGAAAGACGGTGTAATCTTAAAGGGCTCTTCTGCTCATGGGACGCCATGGGGGCGGGACGCCAAACTGATGCAGCTGCAGTGCTTGCACAGCCCGGGTCTATGGGCTGGGCTGTGGCTGTGGCTTTATGCAGCCTGGAGGGTGGATTTGGGCTGTGGCTCGGATGCAAGTGCTGAGATGGCAGGTGGCCTTGGCATTCTTTACCAAGAATGCTCCCAAGGGGTTGGTTTGGGTTGCTTTTCCTTCTGCGCTGTTTTTAGCTCTCTAGCTGGGGGCCAGCATCTCTCGATGGTGCTCTTTGAGGTTGTATATCCCAAACTCGACATGGAAGAGGCTCCTCAAAGCAGCGAGATGCTGCTGGTTGCGATCACAAGTGTCTCCTGTCTCTTCTGGGTTCATTGGCCTGCACCGATGTGTTTTGCTCCTGTCTGTCCCTTGGTGGGAGCAAGCAGCAGGTGGAACACCAAGCTTTTATGGTGGGCATGAGATGAGACCGTTTGTGTGTTTAAGAGGCTCCACAAAGTTGCATGTTGCATCCAGAGAGATCTTTGTGCAGTATGGAAGCAGCGATCCTTGTCCCCGGACGGGACTCGGTGCTGTGCTGCAAATGGGTGTTTGGAGAGGGGCACACCTGAGCTGCAACGGCAGAAGATGAGGGACCTGCAGCTCGGAGACAACTGCCCTCGTTGTTTCGGAGCTCTGTGCTTCAGAGCTGGGCTTGGTTGGTTACGCTGAGCGGGCTCTGACACGACTCTCTGATTGCTCCATCAGCCTTTCCGTCCCAACTGCAGGGTTATATCAGACCAGAAAAGCAGTTGTGAGCGGTCACACTCACAGTTCATCTCCCGAGGGCAGGAACAAACACCAGAGAGAGGCAATTTGGCCCTGGCAGGAGCAGGTGTTGGCAGGATTCCTGCTTCCTCACCTGAATGGGGCACATGGCCCTGCCTGTGCTGCTCCTCCGAAGACCGGTGAGGGGCTTGGAGGGGTGACAGGGGCAGGCAGAGGCCATGCGTGGGGGCAGGAGCGGTGGTCAGTGGGGTTTTCATGGGACACAGAGTTGAATAACAGGGCTCTTCTCTTCCCCAGGTGTACAAGGGCTTGGACATCATCACGAACAAGGTTTCTCCCCAGGAGCAGCGTCTGTGCAGACACCACATGATCAGCTTTGTGGATCCCCTTGTCTCTAACTACACAGTGGTGGATTTCAGAGACAAAGCCGTGGCTCTGATATCCTTTCACACTGCAGCCTGCCTGGCTCAGCAGATACGGCCTCCCCCCTCTCTGCAGCCAGCCCTGCAAAAGGGAGCAGTGTTTGCATCAGCCTAGGGCTCTCCACGTTGCAACTAACTCGGGTTTTCAGAGGACACTGCTGTAAAGCGGCGCTTGGAACTTCCTTTTCCCAGCTAATGCTCAGGGCAGCTTCCCCTCAGGGCTGGTTGGGGAAGATCTCTGCTGCGCTGCAACACTGCAGAGCCAGGTATTGCCCTCCCTGGCAGTCCCTGGGTCTCCCTGAGTTTTGGTGGTAGCAGAGGATAGTGAGAGATGAGGGACACCTATAACCCTGTCCTGCAGCCTCACTGCCTCCTTGGGGCTGGGAGAGCAGGGTCTGAGCCCCTGGCTGCTGCTCCCCACAGCCCTCCCTCCCTGCCATGCACCTCTGCTTACGCTCCCTGACTGTGACACATTGAAGATATCTTTGCCCGAGACAAGATCCCGATTGTTGTGGGAGGAACCAACTACTACATCGAGTCTCTGCTCTGGAAGGTCCTTATCAACACCAAGGTACCGTTGTGGGGCTGTGTTTGCCTCCGGGAAAGGGTGATTCTCGTGTTCAGGGTGGGCTTCCTGTGACCAGGCATGGTCCTCCCCATGCTAGAGTGGGGCAAGGAGAACCAAAAGCCCCTTATTCACCCTGTGGATCTGGGGGATCATCTTGCTAGTGCTGGCCTGGCTCATGGATGAGTCATTTGACTCCGGGCTACCTCATGCCACACAGGAGAAGGCCAGCACGGCCCCCAGCACAGTCACCGACAGGAAAGTGGAGCTGGAGCAACTGGACGGTGTGGAGCTCCATCGCCGCCTGAGCCAGGTGGACCCAGAGATGGCGGCCAAGCTACACCCCAACGACAAGCGTAAAGTGGCCAGGTGAGCTTGGCGTGCTGGGGCCAGCGGGTGCTCAGCACCCCTTTCTGAGGGAATTGTGTGCCTGGGAACATGGCAAGGTGGGCATTCCCATCCCAGGTGGGTGCTCTTAACCTCCTAGCAAGGTTCTTGGGCACCTCAGAGCACTGGTGTTGGGGAGCGCTCTGGGATCTGAGACCCTTGGCCACACAGCACCCATTTTGAACTGTTTTTGGGGGCCAGGACAGCTCTTGGCTCCTGGCTTGTGTGCACCAGGGGTGTTCCCGCTGCCATGCCCCAGCAGCAGGGTTTATCTGGAGCTATTTAAAGAGCAGGCTGCCGTGCTGGCTGAGTAACATACCTGAGCTCTGTGGGAACAGCACGGCAGCAAGACCAGGCTTGCTGCTTTGGCGAGCCCGTCCCAGCCGAGCCCTGGCCCCGGGGGGGAGCAGAATGCCGCCCACCCCATTCGCACGGTGCAGGGGGATGGAGGGTTGGGCACCCCGTGCAGCTTCCTCCACCTCCCTGGCCGGGCTGGGCTGAGCTGGCAGTAATTCTTCGCAGCATCGGCAACGCCAGCCCCTTCCCTGCAGCCCTGCCTGGCTGGAAAGGGCAGGGCTGGAGCCAGAACCCCGTCCCCTACAGGGCTTGTCCCGGTGCCAGGCAGGAGTGGGTGGCTGTGCTCTGGGCTCCTTGGGTACCATCGCTGTGCTGTGCACTGCATCACGCCCCCAGGACCTGGGTGTGCTCAGGATGCTGGGCACGGGATGGGGCCCCCCCACCCCCCAACATGAGAGGGTTGGATCCCAGCAAGTGTCTGCGGTTCCCTTTGCTGGAGCCCCCAGGGCTGCTGGGGAAATGGAAAAGCTCATCCTCACCCAGCCTCTGAGCTCTGTCTGTCTCTGCTTACAGGAGCCTCCAAGTGTTTGAAGAGACGGGGATCCCCCATAGTGAAATCTTGCACCAGCAGCAGGAAGAAGAAGGTGGGGGACCCCTAGGGGGGCCCCTGAAATACCCCCATTCCTGCATCTTGTGGCTCCATGCAGACCAGGCAGGTGAGAGTGGGCTTTGCACAGCTCCTGGTGATGTGGGATTGGAGCTGACTCCGTGCTCCTGCCCCAGCCTCCTCCCTGAAGAAGGCAGCAATACCTTTGGCATCAGTGGGCGTGACAGAGGGCTTGCTCCTCTCTCCTGCTGGGCTCTGCGTTCCTCAGGTGGATCGGGAGGCTGGCAGTGCCAAACTGAGTCCTAGCACCTTCTCCAGTTGTGGGCCTCCTGAGGGCATGGCTCCGTGTGGCTGAGTGTGTCCCCCTCTCCTCCTCCCAGCACTGGACCAGAGGCTGGAGAAGCGGGTGGATGACATGCTGGCTGCAGGACTCCTGGAGGAGCTGCGGGACTTTCACCGACGCTACAACCAAGAGAAGGTGGCCGAGAACCGGTGGGTGCGAAGCCAGCTTCCTTTCTGCTCCTAGTCCCACCTTCAGACCCCATGCAGGGCCCAGACCAGCTCTCCCTTCAGCAGCTCCGATGTATTGCTGCTCTCAGCCTTCTCTGGGCAGTGCCCACTCCTGTGGCAGGGCCAGCAGACAGGACAGATGCCTGCCTCTGCGGGGGCACCATCAGTGGAAAGGTCTGAACCAGCCAGATCCTCCAGCACTTCCTGGCCTTCTCTGCCAGAACCCTTATACCAGGGTTGGTCAAACAGCAGAGTCCCTGTGGGTCTTAGTGTTGAATTAGTTTTGCCGAGATCATACTTGCCAAGCGGTGATGTTTCCCCTCAGTAAAAACTTCTTGGTGCTGCCTGAGTGTTGGCACAGTGCAGCTGACATGGGGTGGCACTGAAGGCACCATTCCTGTGTGTCTGGCTTGGCTTGTCCCCTGAGGCCATGGGCTTGTGTCACCAGGGGAGATCCCTGCAGGGTGAGACTCAGAGATCTGAGCTATTACGGGAAGGGTCGAGGTCTCCCACTGTTCTGAAGGCAACTGCTTTGACCCTATCTCTTGTTTTGTTCTCCAGGCAGGATTACCAGCATGGCATCTTCCAGTCCATTGGATTCAAGGAGTTCCATGAGTACCTCATCAGTGAGGGGAACTGCTCGCCCGAGACCAGTGCTCTGCTGCTGCAAAAAGGTGAGAGGAGCACCATGTCATGCATCCCTCAGCCCCACGCAGCTCCAGGTGACACTGCGTGATGGTCTGAACCAAGCTTTGACCTTGGGGCAGGTCTTGTTGGGGTTGACCTGCGCCTTTCTCTCTACCTTTTCCACTTCTGCCAGTCCAGGGGGGCAAGGACTCCTTTTTCAGTACACTCTGAGTACGCACACAGCAATTCCTCGCTCCCTTCCCCCAGACCTCCCTGCAAGATGTACCGGGCATGGTGTAACTTGGGGTCTGGAACTGGTCCACCGGTGACCTGGGTGATGGGATCCCAGCTGGGGTGTGAACACTGTGGAGAACAGGGGTAGGGAGAAGGGGTGAAGCAGAACTCAGCATCTGATTCGGCAGCAGGATGGTGGGAAGGGATCTGGGGATCTAGCAGATGACAGTGTCAGTAGTGATGCACTCTTTGATGGTGCATGTCATTCTGGAGCATCTGGACAGACAACGCTGTCGTTAGAGGAGGGAGCTGCTCTGCTCCTGGAGGTCCCAGGTAGAGTCTATCTGTGTGGAGGGTTCAGTGCAAAGGGGAGATGGAGGTTGAGGAAACCACAGAAATGATAAAAAGTTTGAAAACAAGTCTGGTGCAGAAGGGTCTTGTTGTGTCTCCTCAGGAGATGATTATGGAGGGATACAGTAAGTCTGATACTAAATATTGAAAGGTTGTACAGTGGTAAACCATCCTCTGGGCCTACTGCGAGTAGGACAAGGAGTCCTGGCTCCTTTGTGCAGAGAAGTATTCAATTAGGCATTAGGAGAGCAGTGCAGCCCCTGAACACATTGTCCCACCCGTTAAAAGCTTCAGAGCAGAGGTTTTGGGCCCTTCCCACCCACTCAGGGATATTTGAGACACCTTGTCCATCCTTTCGTGCTTCCACTGCCCCTACTCTGTCTGGCAGGGCTCGCCCTCTTCACCATGAGGAGTGCTTCTCCCTGTGGGCTTCAAGACCTCCGGACTGACGGCAGAAATACTTCTCTTAAGTGAATGTGGGACCATCCAGCACAGACTTTGGTCTCGTGTGATTTCCCCCCATTGGAGCCAGAAGCCTCTTCTCACTCCGCTCTGAGCTCAGCTGGCAGCCTTGCACTGACCTTCGTTTTTATTTTTCACTCCCTCTTTTTCAAAGGGATCCAGGCTCTGAAGCAGGTGACCAAGAGATATGCCCGGAGGCAGAACAAATGGGTCCGGAACCGCTTTCTGAGACGTAAGTCCTCTGTTCCTGCCCTGCCTCCCCATCCCTGTTCTCGCGTCTCTTCTCATCCCTCCTCAGCACATTCCTGGCTCCCAGCTCAAGAGAGGAGAGCGGTGGCTCCTCTGCTTTGGGGCAATGAGTGTTGAAGGGGGATGTGAGTCCGGCAGAGATCAGAGCATTCTCCATGCATTCTTCTGGCTGGCTCAGGCTGTCCTGGCTCTGCGGGTGTCTGCTGTGGCCAGATCCCTCCAGGAACCCCCCGCCAGGCTCTGCCCTGGGTGCAACCTGAACATGTGGGAAGCAGAGCAGCCACTCGGCCCTCCTGAGACAGCCCACCCAGCACTGTCCAGGTCTTTCTCACTGCGTCCCTGTACCCCTGGCTGCCTGTCAAGGGAAGATCTCCCCTTCCCAACACCGGTGCCATCAGGACGGATGATATCGTGACAGAACAAAGCAAGCAAAGGCTCACCCCCGTGGTGGGCAGCAGTAGATGATGGTGGCTGCAGCGTCCCTGCAGCCTGTCCTGCTCTCGGGGATCTCAGGGAGGGGGTCCCCAGTATGTTCCCTCTCCCTGTGCACCCACCAGTGCTCCCTGCGCAGGGTGAAAAGCCCCAGTTGAGAGCTGCCCTCCAGATTAGGAGCAGGAGCCCATCACCTGCCCTTTGCCTGGGCCCTACTTGCTGCGGTGGCAAGGAGCCAGCAGGACTTCCCCATCCCAGCCCCAACCTTGGGAGCGGGGCCAGCGGCAGCAGCTGGGAGCCGGGCACTTGTTGAAAGGTGCTTGGTAGGGGCAAAACAACAATAAAATATATATTAAAAAAAAATAATAAAAAAAAAAGAAGGCAGGGAGAAACTCGAGTCAAAAGATGGGCTTTGAAGGGGGTGTAAGAGCTTTCCTGGAGCCATGTGCTGGGTGGCTGTGGCTCACCTTTCTGGTGGCAGGTGTGCTTCAGATCAGCCCCATCAGGAGCTTGTTTGTGGTTACAGCCATGAAAAGCAGCACCTGCTGGAGACTGGCACGTGGCGGCCTTTGATGGCTTTGTCCGAGTGGGGCCCTGTGCCCAGTCCCTGCGGGCAGGTGAGCCAGGCAGGGCAGCCATGTCACCCGAGGGAGCGGGCACCCTCTGATTGCAGCTGTATCACCCCAAATGAGGTGCAGCGATCCCCCTGTGCCCTCCCGCCAGGCTGGGAGAGGCTGAAGGGGGTGGCTTTGAATCTGTGCCTTGTCAGGTCAAGGCATTACTAAAGCATCTCCTGCCGTGGCTGCTACTGAGAGCTGGGAGTGTTGGCTCCTGCAGCCTCACAAGCAATTAGAGATCTGAGCGGGGACCTGCACCCGCAGATTCCTCACCCAGACTCCGTGCCTGCATCTCCTTGTAAGCTTTGTGCGATGGCTTTGTGCCTGGATCCAGCTTTTGATCTTCTGCAGCCTCCTGTGGACTGTAGCCGTGATGAAGTGGTTGCTGTTATGATGGGCTGTCTGCCTGCTTGGATTTCATAACGCCATCCCGAAGGCAGACAACTGTGAAAATGCTTTCTCGAGGTCTTGGGTGCTGTTTGTGAGGGTGATGCCCCCCAAACTGAGGTCTCTGTTAATTTTGACTCTGGAAAGGCTGGTGCCGTTTGGTTCTGCATGCTAAAGGACAGCAAGATAGGAAGGAGCAGATCTCCCCTGCTCACAGCGTTGCCTCCTGGATGCTAGGACGTGATGCTGGGGAGGTTCTGGTGGTGACATGCCTTTCTTTGTCTCTCTAGGTCCCGGGCTCAACGTGCCCCCGGTGTATGGCTTGGAGGTGTCTGATCTCTTGCGGTGGGAGGAGGATGTGCTGAAACCTGCTCTGGAGATTGTGGAAAGCTTCATCCAGGTACTGGGTAACGAGTTAACACGTGCGCCGTGGCTGAGAAGCCAACTTCCTGGTAGCCTCCAGGCCCCATAACTTGGGAGTTAGTCTCTCCCCTGAACAGGGCTGTCTGCTTTTATGTCCACCCTTGGGCTTTCCTTGCAGTGGCAGAGGGTTGTTGTCTAAGCTGAAAATTTCTCCTAATGCCCAGTTCTCTGCTTGATTTGCATGGTGAAACTGCAGCGTCTGTTCTGCTAACCTTAGTGTCTTTGTATGGCAAGTTCACATCCCAAACTCTACCAAAATGAACACAGCCAAGCATATTTTCATAGTGGGAACCGATTTGAGGCATTATTTAATCTACAGGGACGTGAGCCCCCAGTAGAGCCTGTGAAGATGGAGTACGATGTGAACGAGAACAAGCGGAGTCATCGTGTGTGTGAGCTCTGCAACAGAGTCATCATCGGGGACAGGGAGTGGGCAGGTAGGATGTGGAAACGGGGAGAGGAGAGGACCTGAGAGGGGACACAGTGACACGGAGGGATGGAGTGACGCAGTTCTCTGGAGCAGAGCAGCTTCTTTGGCTCTCTCAGCTCGGTCAGGTGACCCTCAGCACAAGATCTTGGGCTTTCAAGGACTGTTTACAGCCCATGGATGAAAGCCGGCATTTGCAAGCCCAGAGAGGGTGCAGGAGCTGTGCCACAGCAGCCATCTGTCGGGCTTCAACCCCTTCCCCAGCACCCAGTAAACACTGCCACGCTCGACCGTCATGCCAGACGCAAGGATCTATACGTCGCGTCAAACCTCAGCACTGCCTGTGTTTAGTCAGGGCTGCTGGTCCTTTTCAGCGCTTTAGGTAACTTTGTCAAAAAGCAAAGGACAAATCTGTTTCTCCTAAAATTTTGTTGTGCAAAATGGAAGTTTCTTCATGTTTTTAACAGCTCAATTTTGGTCCAATATCTCCTATTTGTGTGGTATTTTTTTATTCCTGGCTGTAATGGTAATAGAAGGGGATTTTCTATTTTCAATAGACTTACTTTAAAAGAGCTCAGTTGGAATCAGATTAACTCAGTGCATTTATCTGTGCTGTGAGGCTCATGCTGAGAACCAGAAACAAAAAGTGGTGGAGAAACAGGCTGCAGAAATGAAACTGGTAAATCTCCATGTGTTGCCCAAATGCGGTATAAGCAGACACAATGCAGAGATAAATTTCCCTGGTCATTGGATTTGAACCAGTCACTTATTCCTCTTGCTCCAGGGAGTTGCTGAAGGCAAGGATGGAAGTTGGCTCAGAATAGGAAGCTCATTGTAGTGAGATCGGTTTGTAAGTGTAACTGTTATTTTAGCTGGTCTCGGTTTGGAGGTGCCTTGAAGGAGCTCCACCTACTCCAGAACTAGAGGACTCTGGAAGTTACGGGGGTGCATGTCCTCCTTCCAGGTCCAGCAATTTTTATGACCAAGTGGGAATCCAAGATCCCTCCAAACGCTACAGCTGCAACTGCACGTCCTTTAGGGATGTCATCGCAGATTCTGATGGATGATGACAATACCTTCTTCAACCAAGACCAGCTGTTGGTCTCTGCATCCAGCTGAATTTGGCTCAAATTCCCAGCTGGTGGGAGAAAAATGGGTGTCCAAAACCTGGGTGTTACTTGTAACTGCAAGATGTAAAAGCTCAAAGGGAAGTGAAAACCACAGTGGGAGCTGGGTCGAGCTGCAATCTGGTCTGCTGTCTTAAGTTACAGATAGTTCTGGGAACTGCTTCCTGGGACCCCACTGGCTCTGAAAGATTTTAAAATTTTATCTAATTTTATAATTTGTACGGACTTAAAAGAGCAGACCTCCCCAGAGAGCAGCAGAAACCAGTGCTGCTTCCAGCCACTCTACACTGGTGTTGCTGCGACAAATTGTGGAAGGTGAGACTTTATTTCAAGCTGAGGGTGACCCTCCAGCGTTGTGATAAAGCAGCAACTTTGCATGTAATTTCATCCTTTGGCAGCAAAAATGATGACTGGAAAACACCTGAGGGCCTTGATTCAGTGAGCACATACCCTCATTTAATTAAGGCCCTGCTTGAAAAGTTTGCTGCTTTAATTGCTGCTCTGATCTCTTGGAAAGAGCAAAACCGCCCTGCTAAGGTGGTACCTTGGTCTGGTTACACAAAGCACCTTCTACTTAGATAATAACACTGATACTGAGGTTGTACTGTCCTTAACTGTGTGATTGCAAACAGAAACGCAGCTCCTGCTGCCCCGCTGTGTCAGTACAAGGTGTATCCTTGGGATCACACCTCTGTTCCTGTCTGGGTCCTGCTAAGTGCTCTCCTAGCTGGGGGCCATGCCCTGGAGTTATGCAAAAGCGTAATTAAACTCCGGGCTCCGTCCCTGTCCGTGCCATGGATGCACAGGATATCCCCAGTGCTTTGGTGCAGGCATCTGGGCTTACAAATGGTGCTGGCAGCGCTCCATGGGGTGATGGAAAGTTGCACAACCTCACCCGCATCCTGCCATGGGCCGCCTCTTTGGTAACACTCTCTCCCATCCTCCCAGTGTCGTGCCTCGGTTGGGAGCAGAACTTGCTGGGAGAGTCGAGTCCTGACACTCTGGAGGCTTCTGCATATACAAACCCAGGGGTTTTTTCCCCTCTCCCAGTCAGGAGAAGGCTTGGAAGGGTTGTTCCCCTTCTGAGACCCAATGTTTTGGTCTAGAAGTGCTCTGAAAAATGTCCAGGGCAGGGCTTGAGAGTTCACTTTTCCCTGGGAATGAGGATGGAAGGAAGGGTTCTCTGTGCTGCGCGGAGGGATCAGGTTGGGTGTTTCCTTCTCCAAATTCCCCGGACTTAAATGCTCTGTTTGCCTCTTCCTCCAGCTCACACACGATCCAAATCCCACCTGTACCACCTGAAGAAAAGAAGGAAGCTGGAGGCCGCCAGCTGCGCTGCAGAGACCAAGGGGGACAGTGGGGGCACGGAGACCCCTGGCGAGGACAGCAGCATGTCTGTGCCTTTGCCGTAGGCTGCCAACCAGCTGGCGAAGGGGAGCAGCCGCGCTCCCACCTGCATGGCGAGGACGCTGAGTCCTGGATGGCCTGGAATTGAATGAGCTGAGTCATATTTTTTTATTTTTTTGGGGGATGAGGCAGGTGTGTAAGTGACGGGCAAAGGCTGGCAGCTGCATCGGATCCTCTTCATGTGGCCTCATCGCGCCCTGTTCCCAGGCTTCCCCAGCCCTGCCTGGAAAGGGCTGAGCCCCTGGGGCAAGGCTGCTACCTCCTGCATCCTCCCATTGCCAAGCATTAATTCCTGCCAGAGACGTAGCATTATCCTTGGAATGACTGAGTCGATCCTGCTGGCATGTGAACATGTCATTCTCAGAGACAGAAACACCCTGCGCTCCTCCAGCTTGGCCAGGAGTGAAATCCGGAGCTGAGCGAGCTCTTACTGCCTTTATTGTGGAGAGGATATATATATTTTATTTTTTTTTTTCCTTTTATATGGAAATAAAGTTGCAGGGTTATTGTGGGTTCCCCTCCCTATTAGCAGGCCCAGTTCTTGCTCTCTGCTTCTACCTGGCCCAGGTTCCCCGCTCTGGGCACATGGCAGGACGTCCAGCCCTGGCTCCTTCTTCCAGTCACCTTTTCTGCAGCTTCTGAGGGAGCTGAGCAGATGTTCTCAGGGCGGTGGATCAGCCGATCCCCGGGCACGGAGCAGGTGCAGAAGGAGCTGGCACCTGTTAAACAGGAACTTGGAAATGATCTCATCCAGTTTGCAACAGATGAGGCTGTCCTAGTTAAAGCTGAAGTCCCGGGGGTTTACACTGCGGTTTGGCAGCGGGAACCAGCCCCGCATTTGAATCCTGAGTTGCTGAGCGGCAAAATTCCTTATGCCGCGTCCGCTGAGCCAGTTGGTTCCTGCCGTGTCGTTCCCGGAGGACGCGAGCACTGTCTGCGCCACCCCACTTCCCGGGTGCCGCTCCAGGTGGAACCAAGAGGGCCTTTTCCAAGGAATTTGGGATTCTCCTGACAAATGCAATCAACATGGTTCCTCCCTGGGAGGGTTTTTGCAGTGGTAGAGCACATTTCTTGTTCCTTTAGCTGCTTGGGATACACCATGTGGCAAGAGGCATCTCTCGTGGTCACCCTGCGAGGGGAAGGGCTGAATGGGCAGATCTGGAAGTGCCTGCTCTGATGGGGATGAGATTGAACCCCCAGTTTGTGTTCCTCAGCGTCAAATGATTTCTGTAACGCTCCATGGGGCGGCTGCCTTGGGCTGTTTGATCGGGGTGTGGGGTGCGGTGAGAGCTCATGCTGGAGGGAATACGCAATGAAGAGCTGGGAATTTGGGTCGGCTTTTCTCTGTCAGCCTTGGGCAGAGCTGGGCATCAGCTTTGAGATGCTGGGCACCGCCTCAGTGGTGCTGGCTCTGTCTGTGGCGCCATCTCAACCTCTTCTCCAGCCCAGGCTTGTTCTCCATCTCCATCCCTGCTGACTCAGGCACACGTGGATGTGGGCTCAGCCCAGTGCGGGAGCTCTTGGCTGAGGGGTCCAGGTCTGGAACCATGTTCTCTCCTCTCTCCTGGATGGAGGAGGTGCAGGTGAGGCTGGGCGTAAAGCCCCATTGGCCTCTGATGTGCTGAGCGTGGGCTTCTGATGGACACATGGACGTGTTGAGTCGTCTCCCCAGGCTGGGTTGGGATCATAGGGGCAGCTTTGTGAATGGAGGGGTGGGATTATCTGCTCTGTCTCCTCAGCACCGTCAGCTGACCATACTGTTAGAAATGGATTTAATATCCTTAATCGGTTTAATATGAACTTTGTTATCCCCGCAGATAAATGTTATTCCTCTACCACAATAGCTGCTACTCTGCCTGTTCTCTTCCAGAGCCTGCAGCCACCTTCAGGCCTCCCCCCTGCTCCCTGCCACCCGCTGCAGTGCCACGTTTTGGGGGTCGCAGCTCCCAGGAGAATGGGGGTCTCTCACACTCGCTTGTTTGTGCTATGGCTGGACTGGGAAATGGAAGGTGAAAGCGCTCCCTGATCCTGCAAGGGGTGAGGAGCAGGTGAGTTTGCTTTCTGGGAGAGGTGGGGGCTGTTGGTGAGGACACAGCTCTTTATTGATGCAGAGCCAGGGCCAGCATCTCAGTGACAATTTGCTCTCCGAGGAAGGAGGTGGTGGCTATTGTACTTCTGTTCTTGGAAGGACTCGAGGCAGGGACTGGGGTCAAACACTGATTCCTGGTGCTGGCACACGTTCAGCTCCTGCTCCTCTTCCTCTGGGCCCTGTGGAAGGGACCAAAAACATGAAATCTTTCTCGCTGAGAAAGTTGTTGTGGTCTCAGGTTTCAGGCACTGCTGGTGCCAAGTGGTTTGGGGACCAGGGAACGGCACTTCCCTCCATCTGCCTTCCCTAATCCCCAGACAAACGCAGCTCTTCCATCTGTGCAGCCAGAGCCGCCGAGCCCATCACACCAGCCACTTAATCTAAATGGCTTTGGCCAAAGATAAGGTCATTAATTACACTGGGATTAGAAAACAGTGCAGGCCTGGCGTGGCTTGGCTCACTGTCAATTAAAGTCCTTGGCGCCCTGGCCCGGCAGAGCATCGCAGCTGGAGAGCTGGAGTTGGGAGAGGCCCGTGTCCTCGCTGGTGGGACATCGTCCCCACGGCCCTGCCTGTCCTCGGAGGAGTCATAGAGTCATAGAGTTGTCCAGGCCGGAAGGGACCTCCAAAGGTCATCTAGTCTGACCGCCCCGCAGTCAGCAGGGACACCCCCAACTAGACCAGGTTGCCCAGGGCCTCGTCGAGCCTCTCCTTGAATATCTCCAGGGATGGGGCCTCAACCACCTCCCTGGGCAACCTGTTCCAGTGCTCCACCACCCTCACAGTGAAGAACCCTCTCCTGATCTCCAGTCTATATCTGTTCCCCTCCAGCTTGAAGCCATTGCCCCTCGTCCTGTCACTACAGGCCTTTCTAAACAGGTTCTCCCCAGCCTTCCTATAGCTTCCTGTAGGCCCCTTCAGGTACTGGAAGGCCGCTATTAGGTCTCCCGGGAGCCTCCTCTTCTTCAGGCTGAACAACCCCAGCTCCCTCAGCCTGTCCTCGTAGCAGAGGTGCTCCATCCCCCTGATCATCCTTGTGGCCCTCCTCTGGACCCTCTCCATCAGGTCCATGTCCTTCTTATATTGAGGGCTCCAGACCTGCACACAAGACTCCAGGTGAGGTCTCACCAGAGCAGAGTAAAGTGGAAGAATTACCTCTCTGGACCTGCTGGCAACGCATCTTTTGATGCAGCCCAGGATGCGATTGGCCTTCTGGGCTGCAAGTGCACACTGCCTGCTCATGTCCAGCTTCTCCTCCACCAGCATCCCCCAAGTCCCTTTCCTCAGGGCTGCTTTCTAGTACCTCACCCCCTAGTCTGTACTGATGATGAGGATTGTTCCGGCCCAGGTGCAGAACCTTGCATTTGCTGTTGTTAAACCTCATGAGGTTCACCTGGGCCCACCTCTCCAGCCTGTCCAGGTCCTTTTGGATGACATCCCCTCCCTCTGGTGTATCGACAACACCACACAGCTTGGTGTCGTCTGCAAACTTGCTGATGGTGCCTTTAATCCCCCTGTCTATATCATTGATAAAAATGTTAAACAGTATTGGCCCTAACACGGACCCTTGAGGAACACCACTTGTGACTGCTGTCCATCTGGACTTTGAGCCATTGAGTACCACCCTCTGGATGCGACCATCCAGCCGGTTCCTTATCCACTGAAGTCCCCTCACTCAGGCACTGGTGTTTTGGGTACAGTGGTGGCATGGGCTCCTGTCCCCAGGTGCCAGATGGGGTTGGTGATGAGGGTCCCAGGGGACACCCGGGAGGAGCTCAGGGGTGGTGGCAGCCAGCGCAGCCCCAGTCCTCGTGGCCAGCAGTGAGGTACATGGGCAGCATCCCACTATCTGCATCCCCATCACTCGCTGCCTCCAGCCTTCACCAGCCCCTCACTCAGCCCTGACTAGCGAAGGTTGGGCTGGCCGAGTCCCACGGCTCTCGCTTGTGGTCACCATCCCCAGAGCTCAGAGCAGCCCCTTTGCTGATCTCAGAGCCAATGTCTGGCTGTGATGTTCAAGGACTTGTGTTTCCTTCTGTTTCTTCCACCTTTTGGTTCCCTCTTCATTCCATGTTTTGGCTGTAAAAGGCTCAGATCTGCCCATCCCCTGGGGAATCTCTGGTCCCTGCAGTGCTGGGGTGGGATGTGCCGCCTGCTCTGCCCCACGGGCTGCTGTGTAGGGGACAGCCAGGGCTGAAGCCACCTATGTGACTTGACTTTGGCCTCAGCCCTCCCCTGGTAAGGAAGAGGCAGCACCGCGGGGACCAAGGGGGTACACACGTTTCGGGTGGCCGGGCTGTGGCTCTGCGCCAGGAGCCGGCACCGTGGCACAGCTGCCACCTCGCTTGGCACCGGTTACCAGCTGCTGTGTCTGTGCCCCTGCCCGCTGGGGGGGTTTAAAGGGTCCGGTTGTCCCTTAACTCCCGTTGGAGGTCCCGGGTGGTGATGTTTTTCCACCTCTTCCCACCCCAGTTCCCACACTGCAGGGTATGATCCTGCCCTGGTGCCTCAGATGGGCAGGGGACCCTCTAGGGGACTGTGTCACCTGGGGATGGTGGCTCCTGCAACCATGTGGTGGCTGCGGCCTCTGAATGGGGCCATGTCCTGGCCTCATCTGCAGTTCCCAAGTGGGATCTGTGGAGCACCAGGGGGATTTAACGAAGCCTGGGGTGGTGGGATCATTGGAAGGAAGCCCTTGGGGTCCACGTGGGGTCTGCAGGGCTGGCTGCCATCACTGCCATCGCAGGGCTGCTGCGCGAAGGTAGCGAACAGGGAAACTGAGGCACAGCTGGTGCGTGGAGTTGCTCTGAGAAGCACTGGAGCCGGAGGAGGGCGTTTCGGATGCCGTGGCTCATCCGGTGCCTCGGCGGCATTTCGGGCAGGCTGCAGAGAAACCGTGTTGCAAGAAGCCCAAAAATAAAAAGGAGCTGTTGGCCCAGGTTGTGCAACAGCGAGTGCGTCCCGTGCCGGGCGGGAGTTTGGCCACTTTGGCAGCAAAACCTGGGTGTGTGTGGCCAGATCTTGGCACTGAGCCCAGAAAATGCTGTTATCCGAAGGGCTGGGGGCCGCTAGGTCTTGCCCCCCCCTCCTTGTTGCTCAGGATCCCCTCTGGGCTGCCATGGCCGGGAGAGGAGGGATGCTGGTGGGTGCCCGTGTGGGTTTGGGGATGTGGGGGCTGAGCTGGAATGCAGTGGGTGGGTGGACAGGGTGAGTGTCCCCGTGTTGGCACCCTGAGGAATTCAAGGGGGGGGGGGGGGGCCCGGGGGGGGGGGCAATGCGCCCTCCAGCATACCCTGGAGGTTGTGTCCCATTGTGCAGGTGGGTAAACTGAGGCACGGGCATCTTGCCGGGGAGCCACCCTGCAGGAGGGCTGTGGGGTGCTGGTGTCACACGGAGTGTGCCTGTCACCCCCCAGCGGTGTGGGGGTCCATCTGGGGCAGTGTGGGGGTCCATCTGGGGTAGTGAGGAGGGGCTGGCAGTGTGGGGGTCCATGCGGGGCAGCGGGGGGGGCAGGCAGCATGGATGGGAAAGGCAGTGGGAAGGGGGCTTGGAGGGACATCAAACCCCAGGGGACTTGGCTCTGCGCCCCAGGAGTGTGGCCATGGCAGGGGGAGCCCTGGGGTGTCCCTGTGAGGGGGTGACAGCCCCACCAAGGGCTGGCGCAGGGTCCTGCCCTGCAGAGTCCCCCTCCACCCCCGCAACCTCAGCTTGGGGGGGCTGAGGCCGAGTGGGTCCCCCCCACGGTGGGAATGGCACTAGTGGGGGTGCTGCCGGGGCTGCTTTGTCACGGTGCCACAGGGCCATCTGCCGGCAAAGGCACAGCCCGCCGTGGCCTCCATCAGCCTCCCAGTTCTCCCAGTTTGCAGGTGCTCCGGGTGTGGCGTGGGATGGGATTGGATGGGATGTGGCAGAGATGGCCTGGCTCCGGCCACGAACAGATTAAATGGCATTTTTATTTCACACCCAAAAGGAAAAAAAAAAATGTTGAAAAGAAGAGGTGAGTGGAGATTTAATTGCTTATATTAAAAATCTACCGGGTGAGACCCAGCCATTTCCACCAGCATCAGTGCAGGTCTGCAGGATTCCTCCTCTGCAGCAGGATGCTCCGGGGATGAGGATGGGGACGGGGGTGGCACCTACCCCTTTCCCCCATCCCCAAAGTGCCCCCAGTGCTTGCTGCCACCAGCCCCATCGGCGCATCCCTGCCCGGGTCCATCCTGCCTGGCCCCCGCACCCCTGGCACAGTGTCCCCATGGTGTCACCCGCACCTTGTGTCCGGAAGCAGGTGCTAATTTGGGGGGGAGTGAGGATGAGAAGAGAGGGGGCAGGAGCATGTAGAGGGTGGCCTTGGGCTGTTTTGATTATTTTTTTTCCCATGTTACTGTGTATTTCTTATTGTCCCTTTTCCCTCTGTACAAAATGAGCGGTATGGTGATGGACGGAGGTGACACGGTGACGGTGCGGGGTCGAGGCCAGCTCCACGCTCACTGCAGCAGGGCCCGGATCTGTTTGGAAGTGGTGTCATCGTTGAGGTGCCGGGTGGTGTACCTGGATGGAGAGGGGACGGTCACCCTGTGGCCCCCCCAGCCACTCTGTCACCGTCAGGGGGTTGCCACATCCCCCCACCCCCTACCCCCCAACCCCCCAGCTCACCTCAGAGCGTTCAGGAGCCCCTCAGTGCTGGTTGAGGGTTGGTCTTTCAAGACTTTGATGCAGCCTTTCATCTGGTGGGGTGAGAGAGAGAAGCTGTTAGAGCCCGGATGCGCTGCAGGGGTGCTGCTCCCCTTCCTCCCCATCCTCCTCACTGCTCAGGGCAGGGAGGAATGAGTTCCCTCCCTCTGGACCAGCTCAGAGGCATCCCCACAGGGGACATCCAGGGAGAGGGACCCCCGGGCATCACCGCTGTGGTGGGATGAGTGGGATGGCTGTGACACCCCACGGCCACTCACATCGATCTTGGAGGTCTTTGCGAAGGCCCCCACAGGGTGGACATGGTCATAGAGGATGATGACGCCGACCATCACCCTCATGCAGAAGAGGAGGGTCTCGGTGTTGGTGAAGCGGCTCCGGTACTCCCTGCGCCGGGAGAGAGGCCAGCTGAGCCTGGGTGGGTGGCACAGGGACCCCGGCACTGAGATGTACCCCCTCCCCATTGCAGGGTACTCACGGGGTCTCCAGCATCACCCTGCAGACGCAGGCCATGGTGCTCAGGCAGTCGGTCGTGTCCTCAATGGGGAGGGTCTTGTTCTGAAACCCAACAGGTCCTGGCTGCCGTTTCCCCTCCTAACCGGGGTGTTGGGGCTGGAGGGGGGCTTCCCCCACCCCGAGGGTCCCCCACCTGGTCTCACTCACCTCTGAGACAAATTTGGTGGTGGCATTGCTGAGCGTTTTGAGCATGGGGGTGGCCTCAGCGTAGAAGAGGGACATCCTGTTGGCCATCTCGTTGTTCACCTCGCTCTCTGCGTCCAGCTGTGGGGGCGGATGATGGGGGCTATTGGGGTGGCTGAGTCCTGTGACACCGCCCCCAGAGGAGGTCATTCCTGGATGGGGGGGGATGACAGCACCATCGTCTTACCTGCAGGTTGTTAATGCGATTTCGGCTGATGGTCCTTCTGTAGTAGCTGAAGTCATTCTGGATGGCAGGGTTGGTCATCTGCCGAGGGGAGCCCCACGTTAGGGGATAGCATGGGGGCCACCACCGGCTCGGTGTGCCCAGGGCAAGCCTCGGGGGTGTGGGGAGGGACCCCGTGGGCTCCCACCAGGGGATGTGAGGCAAGGTACCTTGAGCTCATCGAAGCTGAGGGTGAAGTGGAGGATCTCAGCAAACTGCTTAGCCAAGGCTTGCTCCCGCTCAAGGTGCTGGGTCGGGGCGTACGGGGGGCTGGTGAGGGCCTCCAGCAGGCTCCGCAGGGCGTTCTCTGGGGACAAAGCTCCACTGGTCCCCATCCTGCTCCTGTGCGCCTCCCCGGCTGGGGAAACTGAGGCATGGGGCAGCATGGCACCCACACCATGGCCAGATCTCCCCCAAACTGCCCCATTACCACACACAGGGAGGGATGCAGGGTGCAATGGAGGGAAACAGGGAAGAGGGATGGAGGCTCGGGGCGCTCACCCAGCCGCAGGGAGAACTCGTAGAAGCGCTTCAGCTTGGCGACGAGGGGGCAGACGGCGCTCCATGCCCTCTCCTGCAGCCGCAGGTCCCCAGGGTTTTGGATGGCCTATTGGAGGGGGAGAGCACCAGGGGTTGTCCCAGGCCACGGTGGGTGGGTGGGTGGGCAGCGGGCTGCACCCACCTCTCGGATCTCGTGCCCGGCGCCCGTGTAGGACTGCAGCTCGGCCAGGACAGCCTGCGCCTCCTCCAGCACGGCATTCACCTGGTTCCACACCACCGTCTCGGCCTCCGTCGGCTGTGCATCTGCAGGGCAGCGCCCCGGGGAGAGAAACCCGGAGGGCTCTGAGCAGGGTCCTGGGCGGTGAGAGCCGGAGTTGGGGTGCCAGCACCCCGTCCTGCAGCTCTCCCGCCGTCCCGCAGCCCTTCCTGGCGGGTTTCTCCCCCCCCGTCCGTCTCCTTGCCCGAGCTCGAGCCAAGCCACGGGGTGTGGGGGGGGAAGTGGGGGTGAGTCCTGGCTGCCCTGCGACCACAGTCCTGCTCACAGGGGTCCCCGAGCAGCCCCCAGCCCCGCGCTGGCCCCAACGGGCTGCAAACTGGCCCAGGGAAGAGGTGCGGAGCGATAGCCCCCCAGCCATGGGTCTGCCCTCCCTCCCCGGGGAGACCCCCGGACGGCGAAGGTGGGGGGGAGGACGCCTGGGATGGGCGCGATGCGATGGGCAACGGGGACAAGAACTCAAAATGGCGTGGATGTGGAACTCAGAATAAGTACGGAACAAAAAAGGAAAATAAAAATCCCATCTCACTTTCAAAGTCAAGGAAAAAATTAGGGCCTTGGTCAAGTTCGTTATAAGTCAACACTTTAAGAAGGTTCCCCATGTGAAACCTGCAAGAGAAGAAACAAGAGGAAAAAAGCATGATGGTGAGGTGGGGCTCGGGGAAGAGGTGCTGGGCTGCAGGCAGCGGCCGGCGGTGGCCAGAGCCCCCATCTTCCCCACACCGCTCCCCGGGAGCTCGGGGGGCTCCCAGCCGGCGGCGGTGACCCCATGGCTGCTTCCGGCCCTGGTTGGCAGCCTCTTCCCCCCCGCCTCGATGGTGATGAGCGCTGGCGGATGGGGTGATGGAGAGGAAGGAGCAAAGGGAGGAGGGAGCTGCTGGGCTGCGGCGAGGAGGGCGAAGCGGCAGGCGAGTCCCCGAAGGCTACGGGCATCCCCCCATCTAACTGCAGAGCCAGCGCAGGAACGGGGGGGTCCTGGGGAGCCCCCACAGTCTTATCCCCAAGCTGGGGGGCTGCAGAGGGGGCTGGAGGCGAGGGGAGGCTGTGCTGCCTCAAAGCACCCACGAGGAGCCGGGACGGTCCCTCACCATGGGGGCAGGGCAGCTGCGTGACCCCAGCCCCGGCTATTTTGGGAGGTGCTGGTGCCGGAGGCGGTGTGACGAGCTGTGCACGGCCTCTCCCCGCCGGGGCCAGGCTGGGGCGAGCGGTTGCTGCTGCACTATTTTTACCCCACCTTGCTCTTGCTCTGAGCCGTGCTCCGGGGAGGAAGAGGGGGAGAGGGAGGAAGGGCAGGCCGTCGCAGGGAGGGCCTGGGAGGGCCACCCTCCTCTCCCAGTTAGCCCAGTCCAGTGTTAAGCTGGCACAGGTCCCCTGGGCAGAATTGGGGTCCCCAGTCCCCATCCCTTGAGCATAGGGTGTCACCACCATGCCACCCCTCCCGGCAGGGCAGGGGGCACAGATCCTTCCCTCCTCCTTCCCCGGCATCCCTGGCCCCCAGGCTGTCCCTCTCTGGCAAGGGGACATGCCACACGGCCACCTGGTGCCACCAACTAACAGCAGCAGGCACGTTCCTGAGGTCCTCATGAGCCAGGTCCTGCTGCCAGGACGTATCCTGCATCCCCGCCACTCGGACAGGGACATGTCTTCAGGTTTCAGGGACAAGGCATCTCTTGGGGTCCCACTCCCCTGCCCCACTCAGCCCTTCGTGGGGCACGTCCAGGGCTGCCCCGAGGTGCCTGGGGACATGGGGCTGCTCGGGGACACTGTGCCTGTCCCCATCTTCCGGAGAGCAGCCATGGCGGCGGCCCCGGCCCCCTCCCCGCGCCCACCCTGCTCACAGGACTTACTTTCAAAATCCAGGAAAAAATGAGGACAGTTTTCTAAATCTTTGCCCAATACCTTTATCAGGTTGCCCATGGCCAGCAGACCTGAGCGAGAGAAACAGAACAGAGTGGAACAGCACCAGCGCTGCCGGCTGGACACCCTGGCACCCCCGAGCCCCCGCCGCCGCTGTGACACCTACCTGTGCCCGTCCCACTGAGCTCTGCACCCCAAATCCCCGCCGTCCCCAACCAGCACCCTCCCAGCCGGGGCACACGGGTGTCAGGGTCCACCGAAACGCGGCCACTCTCCCCAGCGGTTCTGCCGTGCCTTTCACCGCGGCGGGAAGGGAAGCGGGGCGCGGGTTCGCGAGCGCTGTGCTTCCTGTGGGCGCCCCAGCCACGCTGCCTCCCACGGTTCCTCCCCCAACTCAGATGGGGCATGGGGGTCTGCCCTAGGTGACCCCCATGGGGTCATGCCAATTCCCCCATTGCTGGAGCTGGGCATCCCCCACAGACAGGGGAAGGCCCCAGTTGGGATTTCTGCCCCACAGACCCAGTTTGGGGGTCTGTTGCTCACACCAGGAGCATCCCATCCACCCCATGGCCATGGCTCTGGGTCCTTACCTCAGTGCCCAGGGTGGTGGTGGCGGCGGCTACGGCAGGAGCAGGGGCTGTGCCACCCACCTGAATCACTTCATGGGCCAGCAGGGACCTGTGGGCAGGAGGGCGAGAGGGTCAGGCCACCCCACCGGGTACCTCCTCACCCCAGGGACCCGCCCAGTGGGTGACCAGGCGGGGAGGTGGGGTGGGACACTGCATCCCCCCACTCCAGCTCTCAGCCCCGCGTGCTGCCACCAGCCTTCACCTTATTTGCCTTGATTATTTTTTGTATTGCCATCGGCCAGTGTCACCGGGAGCTCTCCAGGCACCAGCTGAGCATCCCCCTCCCTCTGCACCCCTTGGAGGACCTGCCAGCAGCTCAGGGACAACCCTGGGGCTGAGCCGTCTGTCCCCATCTTTCCTTGGAGAGGCCAAGATCCCCTGGGAAGCCTTTCCCGGTGCTGCTGGTTGGGTTTGCTCTTTTCTGTGTCGCGTGAAGATCCCTTTGCGCTGCGAATGAGCTGCAACCCAAATCCCGCAGGTGCTGGGATGCTCCCCTGGTTCTTCCATCCCTCATATTTCCTACAGGGATGGGGGGGCATCGGGGTTGGCCCCACAGTGTTAGCAGGCTCTGGGAAGCAGCTGTGGGATTCAGCAGGTTGTAATTAAGTGCCTGGGTTTAATTAATGTGGTGCAGCATCATTGTGGGCACCGTAACCTGGTGCAGCACCACACCCCTGCTGGGGGCTGGGTGCCCCTTCCCCTTGGGTTGGCTCTGCACCTCATGCCCCCCCCCCGCCCACTGGGTGCCTGCTGGCTGCCCACTGCCACCGCTGAGTCCCCCTGATGCTGCCCCCCACCCATGGCCATGCTGGCATTGCCGCAGCCAATGCGGGGTCAGACGCGCGGTGCCTGAGGGATTTTTTCATGGGGCGGGGGGGGCTTATCCTGGGAACGAGGGTTCTGGGGCCAGATCCTTCCCCAGGATGAGCCGGGGCACCCCTAGCCCGGCTCAGGGTGGGGTTGGGGCTTCCCGGGGCTGCCCACCCCCCCAGTTTGGGGACCTCCCTGACTGAAAGGAGGCATGAGTCCCCCTCACAGGGCTGATCCCCTCCCCCCCCGCCAAAGTGGGACCAGCGGGGTGTTGGGGGGGGGCCTCCCTTCTGCCTCGCTGCGGCTGCAGGCAAGCAGCAGGATTTACCGCAAGGCTGCTGGGGGAGCTGAGCTGCGGCACCCAGCCGGCGCAGGCGAGCACCCAGCCGTGCACCCCGCACCCACCCAGGGCCACCACAGGGCTGCAGCATACCCAGAGGGGCTGGGGGGCTTCAGGGCAGCACCCACCCCATCACCCCCAATCCTGGGGGCACCCAGCAAACACTGGATGCACCAGACTGGGGGTGCAAAGGGAGATGGGGACCCTGCGAGTGGCTGCTACTGGTTGGGGTCCTTGGGGGAAGCAGCTAGGGGATGCTACAGCCCCACACCCTGCTCTCAGGCCTGGTGGCATCCCTGTCCCCATCGTCCCCCACCCTCCCTGTGGTGGCCCTTGCTCACCGTGGCAGTGGGGAGCCCGAGGCGTCGGCAGGCGGTGGCCACTGCCGGGTGTCTGCAGATGCTGCTGGAGCGCGGGGTGTCGGGGACGAGCTGCCCACCGTGTGCGTGAGCCGCCCTGCGCCAGCTGCCGAATGCACCACAAAGACCACCATAGCCCCTCGCCCCCCCCCATGCCACTGGTGACGGTGACGTCTCAAGTGTGAGAGAGGGAGACAGGGACGCTTAACTCCCTGCGTGCCGGCCAGCAAAGCGCTGCAGCCTGCCTGGGTGTGGGGCCCGCTGGGGTGCTGCTCCCTGGTTTTTGGGAGGGGGGACACAGTGACACAGTGGGTGCCTGCCCACCCACCCCCTCCCCTTCACTGCTCAGCCCGGCAGCCCACTCTGAGCAGGGGAGGGAAGCCCCCAATTTTCCTTTGCTCCTGCCCCAGCCCATGGATGGCACCACTTCCCCCCCAGTTCCCCCTTTCTGGGAAGGGGGACAGCCACCAAACCCACCCAGTGCCACTGTCACAGGGCCAAACCCGGCACAAACCCCATTTCAGCAAGGCAACACCATCCATCCCCCCTCAGCACCCCTCCCCCCCCGACTGGAGCCAGGATGGGTTTGAGGACCACTTGCCAGTGCAGAGCTGTTCCCATGGAGGCGATGCTCTGACCAGGGAGGTGGGAAGCAGGTGGGGAACCCCAAAATTGGAATATTTTGGCTTTTTCACCCTTCACCCCCTTTTCCAAAGCCAGTGCTGGGCATCATGGTAGGGACATCAAGAGGGACCCCCAGTGCTGTGGTCACCCCAGGTCCAGCTTGCCCAGCAGCACCCAGAGGTGTCCCCCAGGGACATGGTATGGGTGACAGCAGCTCCCTGCTCCTCTACAAGGGCATTTCTCTGCAGCAAAGCATGGCATGGGTGCCCATCCTACAGCACCCCAATAGTGGCCAGGGCACCCAGCACCAAGCCCTGGGGCACAGTGGGCAGGGAAAGGCTGAGGCTGCTGGTGAGGAAACATGGCTTGAAGGGAGGTAGCAGCAGAAGAAATGAACAAATGAATGAAAAATCTCTGTTTCGCTCCAAAACTGTCTGAAAACCACAGCTCAACCCCAAACGCTGCCCACAGCGGGACTGGCACCGGGTTGCCCCTGGGCATTTGTGCCTGTGGATGTGCCAGGGGAGAAGCCATCCGGAGCCCACCCCGATGTCCCAGCGTGTGCCCATGACCCACCAGCCCTGTGCTCAGGTCATGTGGCTACAGCCCAGTGTGTCACTGGAAAAATGAGGGATTCTGTGGGTTGCACTGGCTGTGAGCGCTGTGCACCGTCCCTGTCCCCAGCCCTGCCCAGTTTACCCCACCGAGGGTGACATGTCCTGCCCAGGACCGTGTCGTGGGGACACTCATGGTGGAGGAGTGCTTGGGGGGGTCACAGAGGGCTACTGATGAGCACTGCTGGTGTCACAGCCAAGAGATCTCGCAGTGCAGTGGGACGAAGGCTGTCAGGAGGCAAGGACAAGCAGCAGTGATGGTGCTCCCCACAGCTCCCAGCAGTTGGCGGGGGGCTGATGTGGCTGCAGTGGCTCAGGGCTGTGGCTGCAGGGTCCCCCCTCATTGGGCATGGCCCCCCAAGCCATGCTGGTGCAGCCTGTAGCCACTGGGGGAAGCTGCAGCCCTTTGCATTCCGCAGCGTGGCTGAATATTGAGGGTTTTAGGAGGTTTTTATGAATTAGGGAGGCCCTGGCAGCTCTGCACCCCGGGCACGCTGGGGCCAGGAGCTGGGGTGACATTGCAGTGGCAGTGGGGAGCAAAGGGCTGCCACGGAGCCAGCACTGTCTGCAAAGCTGGTTGCCCCCCCGGGGGAGCCTGGTGGCCCTTCTGCAATCCCAGGGCTAATTCCCAGTTCAGGCTGGGCTCGTGCTTTGGGTGCCCTGATTGGGGTACTGGGCTCAGCCGGGTGCTCCAGCCCATGTGCTCAGGGCCACCAGTGCCACCAGCCCTGCACAAGCCCGGGCACCTCCCCAGCACCAGGACGTGGGGTGTCGCAGCCCCAAAAATGTGGATACCTGGTACCCCACAGCCGCCTTTGTCCCTGTCTCCAGGGTGTCTCTGTCAGACCCCCAGTCTGGTGCTCCCCCACCTCTTCCAGCCACCCTATGCCCCTTCAGCACAGCCTGTTCCATGAGCTGAGCTGTGCAGGTCTCAGCCCTGGCAGCCATGCTGCTCCAATTAAGCCTTCATTAATTTTTCAGTCCCGCTGTGTACCCTGAGCGAAGGCGGTTTGCAGTGATGCTAATTGATGTCTTCTCTACTTAAGCATGTAAGAACCAGCAGCAGGTTGCCCAGCCAGCACAAGGCTGGGGGGGGGGGCTCATCCCCCCATGCTCTCAGGGAGGCTCACGGAGAGGCTTTGGGGCCAGACAGAACCACGTACCCGGCGCCTGGTGGAGGCTGCTGGAGGGACCCAAAAGCCATGGGGTTGAATCACCCCACCCCGGGTGGGGATCCAGCCCCAGACAGGGGTGCAGTGATGTCACATCTGGCTGTGGGGGGGTCCCAGTCCCCCTGCCCCCCGGCTGATGGATCCCTACAGCCCTGCTGCATACACACACCCACAAATATTTGTGTCCTTTTGCAAATCAGTGTCTCTTGCCTCCAGCTGGGGCAGATTCTGCAGCTTCATGGAGTCACCTCTGCCCCAAGGATGGGTGCACCCAGGGGCAGGGCTGGGCTGGGGGATGCTGAGCCATCGGGAAGGGCAGAGCACCCCACAGCCCCGACAGGGACCAGGATGGGGACCAGCCCTGGCTGGATGGCGACTTCATCCAGGCTCAGTGGCCACCGGCTGCAGAGGGGCTGCTGCAGACAGGCCTGGGTGGCACTGGGATCACAGCAGGACGGCCAAGGTCACCGGGAAGAGCTGCCAGCAATTGCCGTGGAAACACTCTGTTTGATTCTGGAAAGGAGAGCATTTTTTCTTGGCCCTTTTCCCCTCTGTGCTTCAGCTGTGGCTCTGCCCAGCAAGGAGGACCGAGGTATGTTCCAGTGTCCTCTCAGAGCAGGCAGCGTGGGGTCCTTTGCTGGGTGCCCGACAGGGGGATGCAGGCAGCATGGCCCCTGCCAGCCCTGAAACGCACCAAGGGAAGGGGATTTTGGGGTGCTTTAGGATCAGCCACCACCAGGGACAGGATCCAGAGGCAGGTGAGCGGGGCAGAGTGAAGAGGAAGCAGGGAAGCAGCGGCGGAGAGCGGCAGGAGGGGCAGGGAGCACTGGCGGGCTGGGGACAAGGCAGGCACCTCTGGGCAGGCAGGGCCAGCAGCATCCCTGATGCTGAACCCAGCACCCCCTGCCAACATCCCAGTGCCAGCATCCTTCCCCCCCCACCCCCCGCATCCCAGTGCCAGCATCCCCCTGCTCCGCATCCCCCTGCCCCGCATCC